AAATATAGAACTCGGTGAGAAGATAGCCATAAACACCACACACACACACACACACACACACACACACACACACACACACAATTTGTTGAAATGCTGAGCCACCAGCGTCCAGCTTTGTCTCTGTCTTATAAGCAGAAAACTTGAAGCTCCAGAGATGTTTCATCATCTACCCATATCATAACAGAAATTTAAGTCACAGAGCCAGGAATTTGAGCCTAGCTCCTCTTCCCAAACTGTGCCCTGTATGTTCCTGTTCAATTTAATCTACTCCTGATTTTCTTTTCTCCTTCCATTCTGAATCAAGAAAAATGTACAAGCATCCAGGAGCTACAGTTTTTCATGAACTCTTTGTGCCTAAATGTCAGATTGGCACACCTGGCTGCAGGCTAGACATCTCCAGCTGCATAGCACCCCAAGGTCAAGGTTTAAATGATCTTCTTATCCACCCTCACCCTATAAAGACCAGCTCCTCCTTGAGAGTTCTGGTGTTGGTTTTGGTTTTTTGCTTTGTTTTAGATGGCATGGCTCTGCTGGCAATTACTAGATGCAAATCTTCGAGAATCTCCCCGGGTCCCACAGCTCTCCCATTCAGCCCACATTCAGACTTCAACTTCACCCAACTCCTCCCCTCCCCCTTCAGCTGCAGCTCTGGTTGCCCCTCAACTGTGACATCTGGTTTTCCACATGTCTTATCTTCCAACATTATACATCTAGCTTTATCTTCACCAAATTAACCTCTATGTCACTGTCCTGCACCTTTCAAAATTTTTACAATCTCCTTCTGCATCGGCCCCCAAGGGAATGCATTGGATGTTGCCCCAAAACACCTACAAAATGTCAATACACACACAATGTCACACCCACAAACATCCCAGCATGTGTTTGTGCACTCACTGCCTTGGTCAAACTGAATGAACCACTGTTCCAGAAACCTTTTCCCAATTTAAGACACCTGCTCACATGATTGCCCAGCCAGAACTGCCCTGCAGCCTTCAGGCCCAGTGACCATCTTTCCTACTTTATGCAAAGGCTCACCTTGATACTCTACTATCCTTTGCACCTGCCATAATTGTATGGAAGTATCTTTCAGAACCCCCATTTTGTTTACAGCTAACTCCACATTTATCTTATTTTTACAACAAAGCAGCCTCGGAATGGTTTTCTATCTTCTAGAATATACACAAGGTGAATTACAAATATTAGTTTGTTCAACAGAATAAGACCAGTGAATCCCTCAGACAGTGGTTTGGAAATGTGTATAAAGGGAAGTCAACTACTGATCAGCTCCACAAAGCCATAAACTTAAGCCAAGAGAAAACTACTTTCTCCAAGGGAATGGAAACAAAGAAAGGGAAAACACTTGAGTCTGACATATGAACCATGAATGCCCTAGCTGGACTTCCAAGCTACTCAGGAAGAGCAGAAGGCTGGTCACCCCACCACAGACCTATATGCCCTCTCTCCCCAGTGGAAGGAGGGGAACAAAAACCGAAGGGAACAGGGCTCCAAAGGATATGTTTGCTAAAAAAGCAATCACTCCTAGGAATGTAATTCTTTTCTTTCCCAGTACTAGAAATTAGGGCTTGAATTCAGGACTTGGGCACTGTCCCAAGTTTTGTGCTAAAAACTAACACTTTACCACTCTGAGCCACAGCTCTACTTCTGGCTTTTTGTAGTTAATTGGAGATGAGTCTCACAGACTTTCTTGCCCAGACTAGCTTTGAACAATGATCCTCAGATCTCAGTCTCCTGGGTAGCTATGAAAACAGGCATGAGGCACTGCTACCTAGCTAGGAATGCAATTCTTAATACACTTCAAGAAAAAAAAAAAGGTGACCTTTCTTTGTTGTTGTTTTTAATGTACTATGTGATTTCTTGTTTCTTTTTTTTTGTTTAATTTCCCCCCTATGGTATATCCCCTGCTGTCACTGTATTTGATTTTGGTACCCTAATTTTGTATATATGTTTATTTGAATTAGGGAAGGGAAGGGGAACAACAGAATGCTGAGACAAAGGCCAAAGGAAGAACCAATGCAACAGTAATATTCACAAGATAATATGTTGGAAATAATCTGTACAACTGGGGGGCATTGGGAGAGAGGGAAAGTGGGAGAAAAATGAGGAAAGGAGTAACCAGCTTGACAAGAAATGTATTTATCATCTTACTTATATAACTGTAACCCCTCTGTACATCACCTTGACAATAAAAAAGAAAAAGAAAAAAAAAAGGTGGTGGTAGCTGATGACTCTTATCTCCATCTAATCACCAGAAAGTTGTAAGTGGAGCTATGGCACCAGACTTGAGCAAAAAAGCTCAAGGGCTTGAGTTCAAGCCCCAGTACCAGCACAAAAATAAAATAAATAAATAAACCTTCAAGAATGCAAAGAGAGCGATTTTTGTTTTTGCCAGTCCTGGGCTTGAACTCAGTCCTGGGCACTGTCCCTGAGCTTCTTCTGCTCAAGGCTAGCACTCTACCACAGTGCAACTTCTGGCTTTTTCTATTTCTGTGGTACTGAGGAATTGAACCCAAGGCTTAGAGTGCTAAGAAGCACTCTAACACTAAGTCACCTTCCCAGCCCAAAAAAGAAAATGATTTTTAAGTGACTTGAAAATAGGAACAAGATTTAGAGAATGAATTGTCAGCTGCTAGCCAAGAATTCATGAGAGAGATTTGAAGTTTGATGAGTTACGTTTTTTTTCCCCTGTGGTGCTGGGGGGTTGAACCTAGGTCTCTTGTGTGTTAGGCAAGCACTCTATCCTTGAGTTATATCCCTTATATACCATCTAAGCTTCATGATTTCTAAAAAATAATAATAATTAATTAATTAAGGGAGACTTGTGTGGTGTAGCAAAAGGACCTTGAAGTTGAGGTTCTAAAGACAGAGGCCAAGTCATATTTCTGACCTTGTATTCCTCACCCATACAACTAAAAAAATGGACTTGTTAACATAGGAGTCTCATTCAAGTTCAAATTCTATGATTCTATGAAAGAGAGTGGGAGAGAATGTATACAAAAGGCTCCATGATCCAACTCCTGATGACTTCCTAATGAGATAACATGGATAAGCTTCACAACTCCTTCTGGTGAATGAGGTTTGAGCAAATCTGCAATCTGCAACCATCCCACCCCTCTGGGAGCATACCCTTCTAAGGCCAATTTTTAGCACTAATAAGCTCTTTGTAGGCATGCTGTCTTTTCACATATCAAAGCCTGTAATGAACATAATTTGAAGGCCTGGCTAGAGATCTTGTCTGATTGCTACTGGCCTGACTACATATCATGCTGAGAACAGTCAAAGTTTTACTTTCCCATAAGAGTCCAGCTGCTGGTCTCCTCTACCAGCCAGACATCCACACCTGTTCCTATACCACAAGAGTCACAGAACAGTGAACACCTAAATGCCTATTATTAGGGGGAAGAGTTCTATAACTCATGACTATCTGTGTAGTGCAATAGTTTAGAAGGAGATAAGAGTTGGGGGCATGGCTCAAATAATAGAGCATCTGCCTAGTAGCAAGCCTGAGGCCCTCAGCTCAAATTTAAGTACCACCAGAAAATAGGAGGTAAATTAATATGCCCATTAATATGACATTGATGACAGGGCATACAGTTGGAATGATAAAGCAAACTCAGAAAAGAATGTTAAGTATAACCTCATTTCGTTTACATATAGGAATATGCAAATATTGGTCATGTATAAATTTATATGAGCATAAAGCAGTGGCCAGGAGCTGGGCACCAGTGGCTCACGCCTGTAATCATAGCACTCAGGAGGCTGAGATCTGATCATTGTAATTCAAACCAGCCCAGGCAGGAAAGTTTGTGAGATGCTTATCTGCAGTTAACCACCAAAAGCCAGTGATACAGCTGTGTCTCAAGTGGTAGAGTGCCAGCCTTGAGCAAAAAAGCTCAGAGACAGAACCTAAGCCCTGAGTCAAGTCCCATGGGCTGTCACATGGGCTGACAAGCCCCAGATCTGGCATGTCCCAGGACATTCTCTCTCTCCCCTCCTCCTCCCCCTCTCTCACACACACAGGATAGCCAAGAAATCAACCAGAGAACTATTAAGAGTGAATAGTGCCAAGAATTTATGTGAGGTGGGTTTCACCTTTTCCTATGTGCTCTTTTGAATGGTTTGATGTTTTTGTCAGTAAGTGCTGTCAGGAGGTTGAGATCTGAAGGTCCTAATTGGAAGCCAGTCAGGATAGAAAAGTCCTTGAGATCGTTATCTCTTAACCTCCAGAAGGGGTAGAAAGCTGGAAGGGGGTTGGTTCAGTAGTAGAGCACCAGCCTTAAGTGGAAAAAACTAAGGGACAGTTCCCAGGCCCTGAGTTCAAGCCTCAGCACAAGAAAGAAAGAATGAAAAAGAGAGAGAAAAGGAGAGAAAGAATGAAAGAAAGAGAAAGAGAAGGGAAAGAGAAAGAAAGAAAGAAAGAAAGAAAGAAAGAAAGAAAGAAAGAAAGAAAGAAAGAAAGAAAGAAAACGGAAGGAAGGAAGGAAGGAAGGAAAAAAAGAAAAGCTCTGGGAACTTAAGGGGGATCACCTGTCCCTAACAAAACTTGTTTAGGTCAAGGAGATAAAGGTAACCACGAACCCTAATTCCAAGTATATGAAGTATATGAAGAACAACTAGAAATAAAGAAGGAATGGAAGACAAAGCTACCACTTTCCTATCTGAGGCCAAATTTTGGGTAAGGGTGTAGCCGTTTTCATGAGGTGGCTGAGGCCGGCCAAGGCTGCTTGGGCCAGAGGACAGAGATGCAGGATGGAGGCAGATGCACCTGGGAGACAGAACCCGGTCCCCCTCCCACCGTGGTCACCTTCAAGGCCAAGGGGAAAGGGGGGCCTATGCAGTAAGTAGTGCAGTGCAAGCTTCCGCAGAAAGGCTCTCAGCTGTCACACGGCAGCCAGGTGAAGGGCAGGAAGCCCAGACTGGAGGTGGAGTGCCGGGCAGACCTCCAGGTGGACACACAGACAGGGGCCACGGCTCTAACTCACAGCTGCGCGATGCCCGCCTTCCGCACGGCGGAGGAAATGGCTTTGACGGCGGTGCAGAGCGAGTTGAGCAGCTGGGTCATCTCGCCCGTGCCGCTGGCCTTCCTGCCCTCCTCCATGACGAAGCGGGTCACGGTGCTGATATTCGTGTCGAAGGGGGCCTGGTCCGCCATGCTGGGGCCGGGATGCTGGTGCGCCCTGAGATCAGTGCGCGTGGCAGGTGCCGGCGGGCCGGGGCGCACCGCGGGGTGCGCGAGACAGGTGCAGGTGCTGGAGGAGACCGGTGCGGGCGGCGGGACGCGGAGGCTGAGCACGACCCGGAGACACGAAGAACCGACCGATCTCTGCAGCAGCTGGAGTGCACAGAGCTCGCCGTGGGGCCAGGCGCTGCCCGATCACCCGCAGGGTGCTTCCTGGGGGAGCCTATGGACGCCAGGTCTCCGCCCTCCCAGCCCTTGGGAACACCTGCCCCACCCCCCCTCCACCACAGTCCTCCCTCTCCCGCCCCCAACTTCTGCTCCGCCCCCATTGGATCGCCCCGCAACGTCGGGATCCACCTTGTCGGCTCCCTTCCCGCCAGCGATCCACCACCTCCACTTCCTCCACCCTCGTCCCCCCCCCCCCCCCCGGGCCTGCCACCTGCGTTAGGAAGCCCGAGTCCGGATCACCCACTTGGACTCTGCCTGAGAAGGCGTGACCTGCTGGTTCCCAAAGGTGAAGAAAGAAGGTACCCAGCTAATCAGGGAAACGCACGCTCCAGCCCACATGGCTAGAGTCAAGGTCTTTTTTTTTTTTTAATCTAATCATTTTCCAAGAACGTTTTTAGCCCTGGACAAGCCTGAGACTAATATCCTCCTACGTCTCTACCTGATGGGGTTAAAGGCATAACCCACTGCACCCAGCGTCTCCAGGCTAGATTTTAGTTCAGTCAGCCCATGTCTAGATCCTTCTGTCCTCCTTTTCTCAGGATTCCTGGAATTAGAGTTGGGGAACGTTTCTTTTCCAACCTATATATGTCGTAGGGAAAACAAATGTAGACATACAGAAAGATTTCTTCTTCTTCTTTTTATTTTCAGGCTGAAATCAGCATAGCAGACATCCTGGCTCATTTATAGACACCCTGCAGTTTGTGCACTGATGTACAGAAAACCTACCAAATAAGGTCCTGTATTCTGAAGGTAGAACAAGGCATGGAATTTCTGCCTGCCTTGAGTGACATGTGAACAGATACCTTAAAAAAAAGTTTATGGTTTGTTACATGAGAAAATGAAATAGGAAAGGGATGGAGAGAATGTGGGAGTGGGGTGAGGGTAAACTGGGAACTCAAGAAAAATCTCACTGAGAGCTGAAAGATGCTAGGGAGAAGCCAATGAAGACAGGGTGAAAAGCAAGTGCGAAGGCCCTGAGGCTGGAAGATGTGTTGCAGCCCCGCCTATGGAGGCTGAAATGGACCTAGTAAAGACAGAGCAACTATGGTCAGGGGAGAAAGGGAAGACACAGATGTTGAATCTGGAGAGCTCAGCTTACTTTGACTTTTACTTAGAAGACACCAGTGCAGTTTCCAAAAGAGGAGAGGCTTATATCTGCCCTATGTTTTCATACTCGGAGTTTGAATCCTGAGAAATAAGTGGGGGCTGAGAGGGGAAGATGTTGAGAGCAAGATTAATGGAGAGTGCAATGCCTACTAGACCCCCAAGGGAACGTCAAGGAGAGAGACAGGGTGCATACTGGAAATACAGATAAACATGGGTAAGCTGGAAAGCAGCACTGAAGAATGATGGATGGGATCGGCTGAAAGCCAGCAGGTGTGGCATCCAGAAGCCAAATGGACAACCCATGTTGTCCCATTGTTCATGAAGCCAATTGTTCATGTAGGGCAACTGTGAGCCAGATGCTGTGGAGGAAGCTGCAAGGTGAGATCTAACACTGACATCTGGATTCAGCCATGGGGACCAGCAGTGCTGATTCTCGTGTCTAGAGTCGTTTTAGGTGAGAGCGCTGGATGCAGAAGGTGATGGTAGCCCAGGAAAGATGGTGGCTGTCTCTTCAGTGACACAGCTGAGAAAGAGAGCTGCTTATCGAACATTCTGTGTAAAACACTGCTGAAAGAGGGGAAAGTCTGACCACTTTAAACATGAAATCTGCAATATAGTAACTACTACTCTGGGGCCTAGAAACTAGTCATAGCTGCTCCTGTTGAAGAGTTTGCCTCTTAATGCATCTGATTTTCAGTCCTTCAAGTCTTAGATTGTGTATAGCCATACAAGCTGTATAGTCTAGCTGGGCATTCATTGGTGGCTATAATCTTAGTTATTCAGGAGAATGAGATCTAAGGATTATGGTTCAAAGCCAGCCAGGGAAGGAAAGTCTGAAAGACTCTTATCTCTAATTAAGCCCCCAAATTCTGGAAATGGAGCTGTAACTTAAATGGTTACAGCCTTGGCCATAAAAGCCAAGGGACAGCAACCTAACCCTGAATTCAAACCTAGTACTAGTGCATGCGTGCGCGCACTTGTGTGCGCACACACACACACACACACACAAAATTATGTAGTCCAGTATGACCCATCCTTAAGTTTAAATGCTTGGGACATCATCCCAAGCTCAGGGTTTGGTTGAGCAGATCTGTTGGGTTCTTAGCTCCATTCTGAGATCTCAGGCCAGATATCTAACCTGTCTAAACTCAGTTTGTCCTCTGTAAGGTGGAAGGCTTATCAGAAGGTGTTGTGGGAAGGATGAACTGAAATAATTGGCAGAGTGCTTAGGTCAGATCTTTCATCAAGGAGACTACATAAATGGGAGAGAGCTATGTCTAAGCAGGGATAAACAGGATTCCTATGTTTATATTAATGAGGGGTTGAGGTGAATGAGGAGAAATTCCTGTAGTTAATGTCAGGGTTAAAACTAGGGTAGATGCAATAGCAAATAAGAAAATGGAGAAAGACTTCAAATGTATTGATTCTTTAATAAATAATTTTACTACATCCAAAGTAGACCATAGGGGCCAATAAAGTTTGAACAGTTACAAAGGTATATGTCTTCCAGTATAGTTTGTGCTAGCAGAGTTAGGAATGTTACAGGTAGGTGGGTTGAGATCATTAGAGAAAGGAGATTGACTGTAAACATATTTGGTGAGGAAGAGAAATTGATTTATTCAAAATAAAGTTTTAAGTTTTCTACATTGATGGGATTCTACCACCTTAACAAGCCCTGTTCTTGGGCAGAGCATGGTAGTTATATATATCTACTATTAGATTACAGGCACTTTAGGAAGTTGGTCTCATTCTCTTTTCCTTTTGTACTCAGAAAAATGGTAAATAAATAAAAACTGACCTAGATCACTCCAGTCTGACTTAGATCACATTAAAATTTTAATTGTTGAACAAATGAACCATTAACAGCAGTTACACCATTAAAGATGTCCTGATCAAACATCAAGGTCATAATCCTATTGTCAGTATGAACTTTAATAAGATTGTGCTGTTTTTCCTGGGGTAACTTGGTTCATTGTTCAAGTATGAGGCAACCAATGATCATACTACTTTAACTAGTGGATCTAAGTTAAAAAACATTCGGAGGTGGTTTTAGGCTGCAGGATCATCCCAGATGATGATGATGATGATGATGATGATGATGATGATGATGATGACAATGACAATGATAGTGTGTGTTTGTGTGTGTGTGTGTGTGTGTGTGTGTGTGTGTATGTGTCACTGGGGGTTGAACTCAGGACTTCCAGTTTGCCAGACAAGCATCCTACCACTTTGGCCAAGCTGTGGTTTATTTTTTTTAATATGGTCTCATATTTTTGCCCTGGCCAGCCTGAACCTCAATCCTCCTATTTATACTTCTCATATAACTAGGATGACAAGCGTATACCATCATGCTCAGCTTTTAGTACTTGGGATAGACTCTCACTAAGTTTATTATTATTTTTTATTGTAAGGATACTGTACAGAGGGGTTACAGTTACATGGGTAAGGTAATGAGTACATTTCCTATGGAGCATTGTTACCCCCTCCTTTGTTTTTCCCCTACCATCCCTTCCCTCCCCTCTCACTAAGTTTTTGCCTGTGCTAGCATCAAACTGTGTGTGTTCCTTCTGATCTCTGTTCCAAAGTAGCTAGGATTATAGATTTGAGCCACCACACTCAGCCAACTTCAAGTTTTTAATGCAAAATAATAAGAAGTTATGCCCTGCATTAAGGCAAATAAATGTATATTATTATGAATTGATAAATTTAACCTCCATAGTGTCAGTTCATCTTCGTTTTGTTTCCCGCACCTCCCCATTGTTTCACAGCAAGGTCGCTTTCATTGCCTGAATAAGGGACAGGTCAGCCTTCATTAAGCCATTCATACAACTTTTTTTTTTTTTTTGGTCGGTTGCAGGTCACAAACTCTGGGCCTGGGCGCTATCCTTGAACTCTTCAAAGCAAACACTCTACCACTTGAGCCACAGTGCCACTGGTTTTCTGGTGGTTAATTGGAGGTAAGAGTCTCTCAGAGGATCCTGCCAGGGCTGGCTTTGGAGGGCAATCCTCAGGTCTCAGCCTCCTGAGTAGCTAGGATTACAAGCTTGAGCCACCAGCGCCTGGCCTCTGTCTGAGTTTTAACCTATACCTAGTAATGGTGCTCTGGTGGATAATTTTGTTAAGTAATTTTTTGTGATTGTGGCTAAACATTGTGAAATATCTAATCCCAGTTCAGGTCTTAGTTATTATGTTTTGAGATATGATAAGACTACTTTTATAATCTGTTTTCTTGATCTGTAGCTTTTCATAGCTTGGAGTTTAATCTTAGCATTTGTGTGCACTCACACTCATACTGGGGCTTGAACTTGGGACCTCATGTTCTCACTTGAGTCCCTACTACTTGAGCCACATCTTCTGGTTCATTGGAGATAAGAATCGCTTAGACTTTTCCGCCTGGGGTTAGCTTTGAACTGAGATCATCTTATCTCAGCCTCCTGAGTACCTAGGATTTACAGCCTTCAGCCCCCAGTTCCCAGCATAATCTTGTCACTTTATTTATTAAACACACTTTACACCAAAGATTTATTAATTTAGGTTCATTATATGACTGGTAGTGATCAGTCATATAACAACAACACAAAACTTACCAACCTTAATAACAGTTATAACTTAGTCAAACTTTAATTCATTGCTTAAGTTATTGCTGTTATTGCTTTTGCACTAGCAACATGGCTTTAACTCAGAGCCTTGTGTCCTTACTTGTTCAGAGTGATGCTCTACCACTTGAGCAATGTCTCCATTTTGCTGGTTATTTTGAAGTGTACTTTTTGTGACTTTTTTTCCCCAGACTGGCTTTGAACAATGATCTTCCAGGTCTCAGTCTCAGCGGCCAGGATTTAATTGCTTATTTTCTTTCCCTGGTACTGGGGATTGAACT